GGCAATACTTGAAGTCACATACTCTGATGTATGTGGTACAATCCAGGAGGATTCGATTGGTGGAAATAGATACTTTGTCACGTTTATAGATGATTAAAGTCAAAAGTTATGGACTTACCTCATCAAGAAGAAAAGTGATGTGATTGAGGTATTTTCTAGATTCAAGTCCATGGTCGAAAGACAGAGTGGCCGAAAGCTGAAAATTCTGAGGACTGATGGTGGTGGAGAGTATGTGTCGAAAGAGTTTGATACACTATGTGTAAAAGAAGGGATTGTGCATGAGGTGGTGCCACCATACACTCCACAACAAAATGGGATTGCAGAACGTAAGAACAGAACCATCATGAATATGGTAAGAAGTATGTTAAATGGAAAGCATCTACCCACAAAATTATGGGGAGAAGCAGTTTCGACAACAACATATATATTGAACAGATGTCCGACGAAAAAGCTTAAAGAAATCACACCAGAAGAATGTTGGTCTGGTGTCAAGCCTAGTCTCAGTCACTTGAAAGTGTTTAGATCTATAGCACATAAACATGTGCCAGATCAGTTGAGAAGGAAGCTTGATGATAAGTTTGATCATATGATCTTGATAGGATATCATTCGACAGGAGGTTACAAGTTGTTCGACCCAGTGAATAAGCAGGTAGTGATCAGAAGGGACGTGATCATAGATGAGCTTAAAGAATGAGATTGAATTGAGAATGCCAAGAAGGATTAAGTGAAAATCTCTTGTGAAGAACCAGCCACTGAAGTCGAAATTGAAGTTCGACAGGAACCAGTTGCAGATGAAGCAGGTTCAAGCAGACCTCGACGAACAAGACACATGCCTGCAAGTTTGCAAGAATGTGTAATTATATCAGATGACGTAGTCGACGAAGAGGGTGATCTGGTACATTATGCTTTCTACGTAGATGTCGAACCAGTCAATGCAGCTGAGGCATTGGAAGATTCAAAGTGGGTGAAAGCAATGACTAAAGAGTTGGAGTCCATCGAAGTCAATGATACCTGGTTACTTATCGAATTGCCGCAAGGCAAGAAGGCAATTTATGTGATGTGGGTTTACAAGGTGAAGGTAAATCCTAAAGGAGAAGTAACTCGACACAAGGTGAGACTTGTGGCGAAAGGATTTCTTCAGAAGGAAGGGTTCGACTTTGATGAAGTATTCGCACCTGTTGCTAGAATCGAAACAATCAGGTTGGTTGTTGGTCTAGCAAATATGAACAACTGGCACACATGTCAGATGGACGTGAAATTTGCATTCCTTAATGGCCCCTTAGACGAAGAAGTTTATGATGTACAACCAACTGGGTTTATGAAACAAGGCGAAGAAAGAAAGGTGTACAGGCTTCATAAAGCCATGTATGGACTTAAGCAAGCACATCAAAATGAGGTTCCATTATCTTCAAGAGCAGGTAGCAGAAGGGAAGATGAAGTTGAAACACTGCAGAATTGAGAATCAGATTGCAGATATCATGATGAAGGGAGTTCAGGTCTAAGCCTTCAAAAGACTAAGAGCCATGATGAATGTAGACAATTTAGACATAATGAATTAGGTGGTGTTTTAAATGTAATTCATAGTGTGTCGAAATAGCAAGGAAGCAGTCGAAGTCTAAATCAAGTGTCGAAGTGTCGAAGCTTTCAGTGTGTCGAAACAGTTTGTTATGATACATATTTATTTTGATGAGATTTGATATGATTTAGATTAGATTTGATTTTGAACATTTTGCGCCTTTTATATTTTGGGCTTTTGTAAACCTAAAACTATAAATAGGTGTCTTGCTTTGTAATCAAATAGAACAGATTTCACAGTTGCAGAGTTTAGCAAGTGAAAGTACAACAGTAATCAGAAATCCCACAGTTTGTGGGTAACACAATTTTCTCAAAATATTTCTTCTCTCATTCTTCTCTTTCTTGTTGTTTGTTTATTATTCTTCTTCTCTTTTGTTGTTCTTGACAACTCTTTACTTGTTATCAACAATACTATCATATTATGGGTTTGTTCACCAATCTTGAGATCAAGATTGAAGGGAATTCTTCATAGGGTGTGAGGTGAATTTCCAACAAAAATAAGTCTTGTTATAGTTAAATTTGCAACAAAAAGGTAAGTAGGTTTCAAAATAAACAATACCTATAATTTGGATACTAACCTTAGGAGCTAACCTTGCTTTGTATTACTCTATCTTACAATTGGAATGCTATTTGATTTTGAATACCCATTTGCAATCAAAGGATTTCTTACTATGTGTAAGATTCACGATGGACCATGTGTGATTGTCATGTAATATTTGAAATTCGTTAGACATGACCTTTCCATTGAATAATTTGAGAGGTTTTACTTAAATGTGGTTGATTCACGAGTGAATGTTATAACATATAAAAAGAAAAAAATGGGGCGTGTATTTTTTGTTATAAGATAAAACATCAATAATAAGATATATAACCAAATTTGTTGAAGACTTTATAATTTGAATGTAATGATAATCTTTTACACCTGGATTATTTCAAACAACCAAATTTTGTACAAGAATCATGTCAATACACATATCTTGTAGTTTGTCAGTAGAGAATGAATATGGAGATAGATGTAAAGGTGCATTGGCAGTGTGTAATAATGAATTATCGTTGAGTTGTATCATCATAAAACTAAATATGGTAATCTACAATGTCATTTGATTATCTATGCAAGTTAAAAACACTATGAATAATATATGAAAAACATACTCATGGAAAATAACATTTCATAAAATGAAGGCAGAGTAATGCAAAACATCAAATAACAAGTATCATTTAGTATCTTATTGTATATCTAAGAAAAATACATTTCCTAGCCCGTAGATCCAACTTGTCTCTATGTAGGGTCAACGTGCTAGCAAATGTTAGACATTCAAAAATCTTTAAATTTAAAAATATTAAAAAATTGTGAAAATATAATTGAAAGGTGATTTACTTTCAAATACAGGGGCGAGGGGTTTAATAGTCTGTTAATTAAAACGGTGGCACGAGATAAAACATAATTTAAATACATTTATGAATGTAAAAGTGAAAAACTAAAACCCTAATGACATTTAACAAATGTGTTTACTTTTTTTTCTTCCACAATGGAGTTATGTTATAAGATTTCCACATAATGTGAGATTCTAAGGCATTGATAAAAGGGGTATCATCCTTCTAATTAATCTTAACTTTAGTAGAAATTTGTGGGGAAGATTTAACGTAAGAATTAGTCTTAGACATCGTATATAAGAAAACACATGTATATCTAAAAATATACTTAGAGAGATCATCAATTAAAACATTTGAAATGTGTTTGTGTTAATTGAAAGTTTAGTTTGCTTAGCTAAATGACAATGTTCACAAATATAATTTTTATTAAGAGAAATATAAAGAAAATAAACATATTCTTTATTGAAAATATTTGGAGAAAGATGCCCTAATATATAGTACGAAATATGTATTTTATTAGAGATACTATAATTCATGTTGTGATGAAGAGTAGTGTTATTACATCGCTTATGAGATAAATTAATTTTAAAAATATTATCTGAAGGAAAATTACAAGCAAGTTAAAAAAGTAAAAGTTGTTAAGTTGTTAAGGTTTAGAAGGGAGGGGAGAATTTATAATTTTAATTACAGTCACATAATTATTCTCATATTTATTTTAAAATACCGAAATCTTCTCTTGTTTTCATATTTAGCTATTACATATTTTTCCTTTATTTTTGATCTATTTTATTTCTTTGTATTTTATTTTAATATAAGTTTTTTAATTTATTTATGACTTGTTTTATAAGTTAATTTTAAATATATTTTATTAGATTAAATGCTTAATTGAGATTGAAAAAATTATTATTGAAATTTTAATTTCCATAAAAATATAACATAAGAAATTAAAATAATAAAAATATAATTTTGTCGATTTCGATAAATTGTATCTTATCAAAATTACATCATATTAAAGACTAAAAACGAAAATTATTTTAGAACAATATTTTGTTTTAAAACTATCATAAATATTGTGAGACAAATGAAGTAATATATTTTTCTAAATTAAATTAAAATGTTGTCATTAAATTATAACTTATTTCTTTACAAGTAAAAAAAAATTATTTCTTTAATAAAGTTATCATTTACGTCTTCAATGCAATCCATTATCATACAAGCATTGATAAACAATTATATTAAAAAGAAAATAATATATATATAAAAAGACTAATTACTTAAACTAATTGTAAAATTCTTTTTAACACTTGTATAAAATAATATCAATATTATTTTAATTATATTATTTCTAAAAATATGTCATAAAGTATACAAAAATTTGAGTTATATAATGAGAAATCCAGGTGCAAATTGTGATAAAATTTTAGAGATATTTGGGTCGGTAAAAGTTTGTTTTTATCTAAAAAAATCAGTGTTGGATAATAACAAATCAAGTTGTCATATAGCAACAGTACTTTTTGTTACATAAAGTTAAAAAAATTTCTCAACAGTTAATAGTATTATAATTTCAATTAATGTGAATATGCACAAAAAAAGGTTTTAACTTTAATAGCTTTTAAAACATTTCAACTTTTGAAAACATTCCATAAATATTTTTCATCAACTTTTTTATAAAAATTAATTAAATTATTATTATAATAATAATAATTAGAGCATGATTTCCATGATATATAGGAATATAAGAAATTGTCAAAAAAACAAAAAACCATATACAAAGGTTGTGTTTTTGCTGTGTTTTTTTTACTTAAGTTGTTGTTGTTGTTGTGGATCTGAGAAATCTATCTCTCTGACGCTCTAGAGATAGGAGAGAGAGATTATCGAGAGAGAAAACAAAAACATAGTGAGTGTTGTTTTGTTGAGTATATACATAGCCACCAAAACCTATGTTGTAATAGAAATCAAAAATCTCCACCACCATTGTTTCTTTCTATATACCCTTTGGTCTAAATTTCATTCTCGAGTGAAAAAGTTTCAATTTTTCTGTGTGTTCTGAAATGGGTTCCTGTGAAGCAACAAATGTAGTTCTTGCTAAAGTCAAGAACTTTGACCCTGAAAATGCTTCAAAAATCATGGGTTATCTTCTGATGAACCTTGAAGAATATGAATTAGTACGTTTAGCATGTTGTCCTGACCATGTTATTCATAATCTTGCTATTAGGGTCAAGAGTCATTTGGGTATGACACTGTCAAACCCTTCTTCTCCTTCACCTCTTAACCCAATTGGTAGAATCACTTCAACTTCTACAAACCCTTTTTCAAAATCTTCTCCTAGAGCCGTTGCTAATGGTTTTGACTTCACTAGAAACCCTGCTTCGCCTTCTTCCAATGTTTGGCCACAACCCTCTTTTCAAAAGAGTCCAATGAGTCCAAAGTTTAATCCTTTACTCTCTTATGAGAATATCCAAACTGGTGTTGGTACTTCTGCTGGTTCTTCTTCTTTCTCACCAAGGGTTAATAATGGTGGTGATTGTGAATTTGTTGATGAGCAACAACTCAATGAGTATTTTCCTTTTCTCAATGAGTCATCTAATGGTGACGATTTGGTTGATCCGCGTCTTGAAATGAATCCTGGCCCTCAGAATTGGATGTCTGCTAACAATGGTGATGCTCAGAATATCCATAGGAGGAGTTTTTCTGCAAGTGATGCTGGTTTTGGTGTGGAAGAGAGTGGAGTAGGATTTGGTTTTAAGCCATGTCTTTACTTTGCCAGAGGGTTTTGTAAAAATGGTTCTAACTGTAAGTTTGTTCATGCTGATTCAATTGATGTTAATTCTGCTGCTGTTGTTGGTTCACCCTCGAAGTTCGACGGAATGGAACAGCATGAAGAGTTCATGAGGTTCAAGGCTGCTCAGCATCAAAGATTGCTGGCTGCATCACAGCTTGCTGCTGGTGGAACATCGCCGTCTTCGTACGACAAGTACATCGATTTTCTGATGCAGCAGCACAATGATAATCAAAGGTTTATTTTCTTGCTTTGTTTTACTTTTTGTTCTTGTGAATGTTTTGCTCTAATATTATTATGCATGGCTTTGCGTTTGAATTTCAGAGCTGCGGCTGCGGCAGCTTTTATGATGGGTGAAGAATATTTCAACATTAGTGGTCGGGGAAGGCCCGACAGGAATGAGTTTCTCGCCATGGTTGCTGGGGATAAGCCAAACTCGGCATCGCGGCAGATTTATTTAACCTTTCCTGCTGAAAGTACATTCAAAGATGAAGATGTTTCGGAGTATTTTAGGTAAAACACACCTGAAATGGCTCACTAATGACTTACTAATGACATGCAGGTGATAAATGTGATGTTTTATCACATAAACATGTAGCTATGTTATTCGCGCAGACATGCAATTGCGAAATGATTTAAATAAGTTCTTAAGTATTGCGATTAATCATTCCAGGTTCAATGCTTAAGAGTGAAAATTTGCAGTAATTTTCCACGATTTTGACTATGCACACCATGAAAGTGGTTTTGCATGTTCTCCTTGGTGTGATGCTTCCACTGTGGAATCCCTAGGGAAGATGGATTTTTGATTGCCTCTGATGTTGATCCTGACTCCTAACTTATGTAATGTGTCTTTTGCCATCCTTGATTGATTTGAGCTTGCTTAGCAATTAACAGCTTTTCGCCGACACCCTTCTTCAATATGCAATTTCTTGACATGATGATAATACATTTAGTTACGTGCTTCCTTTCGAAGCCGTGTTTTGTGTGTAACATTTATAGTTTGTGTTTTTGTATTAGGCATTAAACTTTGCAGATCATGTTGCATATGTCTCCTTCGAGGAGACTTTAACCCTTTACATTTTCAGGTATCACTTTAATGTGTGTTATCCCTTATATAACTAACTTAATTTTGTATTGTCCGGAAGCTTCGAAGATCACGACATTTGGTAGTTTTGAGTCATCATTTGTTGTTATTGATGCTGATTTTATGAATTATATGCCAGATGCATGCATTGTTTGTGAACCATAGAAATTGTGGCCTTCGGACACGTATGTGAACGTGTTTTATATGTATAATATAGTTGATATTTACTTTTTTCTTTTGCATGGTTGTTGCAGCCGCGATATCTGGTTGATCTTATATTGTTCTAGAACGTGTAACATCGCAGCGTCTGTCTGTAAAGTTTAGTGGTGCATCTTCATGTGTTTTTGTATGCATGCACTCGAATCCATGTTGAGCAATTTCATTGATTGACCCGCCGTGTTTGTTATTTTGAAGCAAATATGGACCTGTCCAAGATGTGAGAATTCCTTACCAGCAGAAGCGCATGTTCGGGTTTGTTACCTTTGTCTTTCCAGAGACGGTGAGAAACATATTATCTAAAGGGAATCCGCATTTTATATGCGATTCACGCGTGCTTGTGAAACCCTACAAGGAGAAGGGTAAAGTTCCTGACAAGTAAGTGCGCGTCTCGTCTTTGTTTCACCTATATCTTATGATTCCTGGATTAATATCTGTGTAACTCTTGTATTCAGGAGACAACATCCACAACAACTAGAGAGGAGTGATTTTTCGCCGTGTCTAAGTCCTTCTGGGTTTGAACCTAAAGAACCTTTTGATTTCCATCCTGGTAAGTAAATTTCTCGTATCGGCTTCTTTATTCTACTTGATTTGGAGATGTCGTGCACTTCAAAAGGTTTCTTTATATTTACATGCATGCAAGAACTTCCAATAGAGTCTCATCTCATGCAGCGTCTGAACAATCCTATTTTACGCAGGAGCGAGAATGATGTATAATCCGCATGACATGCTATTGAGAAGGAAAATTGAGGAGCAGGCTGAGTTGCAGCAAGTCCTTGAACTCCAAGAAAGGAGGCTGAAGAGTCTGCAACTTCCAGACTTCAAGAATATTCCGATCCACCACCAGCGCAGTGTCTCTGTCGGGGCTCCTTTTATTTTTCCTCATCAACTTCATGGCCATTTTAACCATGCAGGTCTTTCTCCCGATAACATTCAAGGAGATATTACAGGTTAGTCAATTTACAATCGCGTAGTTCTAGTGAACACAGTTACATGCAGTTTACGATGTTAATACATTTTCCATTGCAGGCTACGGTGTCAGCCTCATTCCTACCGGTTCTTTTGGCGCTGCACCTGAGCAGCAGCTACAGAAAGAAGCTGATCCATCCCGCGTTGATGCTGCTGCTGCTGAAAGTGGAAACATAATCAATACTGCGAATTCAGAAGCTTTAGATCTCGACACTAGGTATGCATGCACGAGACTCAACTTTTCTTTCGATCATATTTATATTTCCACCATCATCCTGATGTTTGTATTATTGTTTCTTGATGCCGAAGAAACGTTGAGCAAACCCTTCCTGAGAGTCTCTTTGCTTCACCAACCAAAGCATCTGGAGACCATCAGTCTGATTTCTCTCCACTCGAAGACGTCAACGAGAAGCAAGACTCGACAACAACTGCTCCGAGCAACAACAATGCTTCCCTTTAATTTTCTTTACAAATCAAGGTACAAGTAATTTTCTTTACATTAAGATATATCTATATATGTATACACATATATTTCTTAGTCTTCATTATGCATATGAGTGTTTTAAATTGTAGGTAATAAAAATAGAAGGTGCAAGCAAGGGATCATGTTAATTAGGGTAATAATATTTCTTTATATCCATTTTCGAGTCTTTTTTCCTTTACAAGTAAAAATTTAATAAAATGATTGTTATGTTGTTATTCATGCAGAAGTGCAGATTTATAGAATGAAGCATATATTAGAAGAAGAAGAAAAAAAATCTTCTAGATGTATAGCAGAATACACCTAGATCAAGAGACTAGTTGGATCGTTCCTTGAGCAAGTATCAAAACTAAGGTTGTCATGGTCATCAATCATCATCAATCATGAAGCAAATACATACTACTAACAGCAAGCAAGCAATACACATATTGCATACATGGATAGAGACATATTAGTATAAGACTATATAAGCCTAGTTTTCCTTTCATCATTTCCCATTTCATTTTCAGACAGAAAAACAAAAAAAAAATGTTGTTGTTTTACCTTTCATGTAATATATAGACTATGTGATAATGTTACGTTTATGTTTAATTAGTAAAAATGTCGTCAGAGATTAGTTTAGCATGCATGCAATATTTATTTTTGTTGATTTTGTTAGAATGATAAAATGGTAGGAAATAGATTTTGTCGGATGTTGGTGGTGAGACTGAATGGTAAGGTCCACATGTGGGGTTGTTTGTAGGGTGGGGGTTCACCTGCTTTCACATGCTTGTGACAGTATACAAACAATTTGTACTGTTCCATCACACTCCTTTCACCATCATCTTTTTCTTGTTTTGTTTTCTTTACTATATATTGCGCGAGTTATCGCCGATTTTACTCATGATTAATCTCGGTTGAAAAGCTTAACAGACCATATATATCATATATGGTCTGTCAAGGTTATCATCTCTTTCAGAGATGGAAGTTTTGTTATTGTTTGAATATTGTTTTATGGATATGAGAGCCTGTTTTGTCTTGGCATGCATTGCAGGCTTTAAAAAAGGGTCTGAAGTCTTTGATGGGTTGAGTTTTATTTTAGTAGGTGATGGATTAATCATGATTATTTTGTTTCCTTTTTAGGTGCTGTAAAAATAATTCATTTCTTAAAAAGTCACACCCACTCACTCATGTTTTTGTTTTTTTGAAGTCAGAATGGTAATAAAATGGTTACTAGTATAATTTTGAGTAAGATGAATGAAGGATACATTTAATATTTTAGATATTCTGAAAGATGATTGCTACTATAATAATTTAATGTAGAAGTTGTGCAAGCCACGTAGGGTCTGAATAAATGTTAGGAAAGGCTTTTAATGTTATTTGAGTACTCATTACTAACTATACAGATTGCTTTTATCATTATACAGTACTCAAGAATACAGATTGCTTTTATCATTATGCAGTACTCAAGAAACAGAAATAATGCACAAGTTAGAAAACTGTACAACATTTATTTTGCCTCAGTTCAACCTTGTTTTCTTGAAATCACGCCATACTATGTGTTTTTATTTCTCTTGTAGTTTTCGTAAAAATTGGGCTAAAACTCGGAAAATTTGAAACATGATAGTAAAAAGTAGTAGTATTGAAAATGAAAGAAGAAGTTTATGTAAATAATGAAAATGATGTTATAATTGCAAAAGAATAATATGCATGATTGAATGATAAACAAGTAAGATGGAAATGAATGGTGCAGAAAAGTAGTGGAAAAAGTTCTGCAAAGTTGGTGCTCTTTGTGTGCCCCCTCGAGGGTATTGAGAGGGGAGAGAGGGTATGCATATGCAAATTAAAGTATATATTAAAAGTTTGTGTTTAGAATCCAAACTCTTTTTTTATAACCTAAGTTTGGATTTGATTCTATAAAATAATAAATTCTTGCATTTTCTATATTTAGGCAAAACTTTAAGGTACTGTTGTTCTACATGGTTATGACTCCATCACAATTGTTTGTCTTGGACTTAGATTGAGTTTTATGTTTTTTTTTGGATATATTTAGTATACAAAATAATTGAAGAAATATAGATTAAAAAGTTTTTAGAATGTAAAATAAGAAAAAGAGTATATAAGTCCCCAAAAAGGGAGCAAACAAACACATGGGCATGACCCCATGACAATGAAAAAGAAGGAAAAAGATGAAGGAACTGTCATTTTCTTCCAATTACTTTATTTATTTTTAAGACCATTTTTGATAGAATATTGTACTTATAATAATATATCATTATTAATGTTTTCATAAAAATAATTAGTAAAAGTTGTTGTCATTGAAATCATAATAGATTTTTAAACAAGGTTCAAGGTTATCAAATTTGATTTAACTTGACCAAAAGCTAGATAAAATGGATTGGCGCATTAGAAAATGAAAAAAAAGTGTGACAGTGTCACATTAATATAATTGTTGATTAGTTTTAACAGATTTTAAATTGGAGAATCTTTATATTACAATGACAAAAAATAGTTTATACAGAGATTTTTTAGTTTTTCTATTTTTATGACGATTTGAATCTTAACTCTAAAATAAATAGATACTAATTCACATAAAAAAATAAATAAATTAAAGGTGCCAAAATAGATCCGATTTATCGGTTATGGTTGTTTTTTTTTATATTTTTTAAATACTTTTTTATAGGATGAATCAAGATTTTTAGACATGCACCCTCTAATATATCAGTCTAGCTTTATTTTTTCAGACGCAAATATTAACACAAGTTTTTGTAATTTTTATGTTAAAAAAAAACAGTGTCCGCAAATGCGCCTTGCCCTCTTTTGAAAAAGTACCTTTGAGACTAAATTTTTCTCTCTGCGAAATTCTTCTTAGATCCCTTTTAGTTACATTTTGCTCCTCTTTTCTTCCCCTCGTTTCTTGTTGCTCATTTTTTCCCGTGTAGCTCTTTTTCACCTTGTGTGAGATCCATGCAGTGGATGTTCAATTTGTCCTCTATTTTAGTTCTACATCAGTTTTTACTATTTATTTGTCTTTTTTCTTTGTCTATGCTCTTCGCTCTCGTTCCTGCTACCCTTGTTTTCTTTTGCTTTCATTCCTTTACCAAAATCGTCATCCCTACCAACCAATAAGGAACCGACCAACCTCAATGGAAGATATTGATTATCAATGTTTTTACTATTTTTATTAGCTTAATTTCCTTATTTTTTTCATATGTTTTATTTGCATTTTACTCTTGAAAATGGATATTTTTCACTCTGTTTTAGTTACAAAACATTTGGTGCAGACTATTGAAGAAAAGATAAGAAAAAGCAAAATAGGAGAAAAATTAGAGCGAATGACAGTTGAACCGGTCATGGCTAAGAAAGACAGACGTCATGGGAGCAGGGAGAGAAACAATAACCCAGTACACTGAAGCGATGAAGGGCGACCCGTCATCATCCATGACGCCTGTCATGGTCCCAGACTCTAGTTTTTCAGTTTCATTTTCCCATTTCATTTATGCTCCCCTGACTTTTCATTCAGTTTTGCACCTCCAGTAATGGACTTAACTTCCATTTAGTGGGAAAATAAGCCTATAATATCACTTGAACTCACAAGCATTATTGTATTAGATCACACTTTACTTCTATGGTTTATGCAAGTTCCACATTTTCCCTTTAATTTCCGGTCGTTACTATCACACTACGTTTTATTTATCTGTTGCTATATTGGATCACAAGTTTTCGTGGAACATCTTTAATTTCAGAGATATTCATTGCGTTAACTTGTTTTATCTTACTGCTTTTACAATGTATGCTTCGTATGTCTGTTTTATTGTTAACCATGTTTTAGTAGCTAGTTTAGGGTCTGTGACATGAGAACGGTTGTACCGACATGCCTCATGCAAGTTGTGCAAGTATCAATCGTAATGGGAATGAAATTTTGTTTTGATACTTCTGCTTTTAAAAATAAAAATATTTGCTACAAAAGTAGAAACACAGAGATATCCTTTATGTGTCGAAAGGGCGTAAACGACATCTGACTTAGAAAATTGAGCAATTAATTTTGAGATTGTGAAAACATTTTTGAATTAATTGAAGAAATACTTTTGTTTTATAAAGGATCATTAATTTTACAATTCATGCTGCAAAAGTAGATGGTAATGCGCCGACGAAAGTGAGATTACCACTAATTTTTGTTATTTTCTATAAATGGTAAGTTCTCGTTCTAATTGATACCGCTACTTGTATGAGTTAAGTTGGTATACAAGAATCATATCCTTGGAATTTCATTTTTATTGTTAATATAATCCAATATTTTACCTTGTGATATTGGATCAAACTCTAGTATGATCGAAAGGTAGCTTATTGGTTCAACAATTCAAAAAAATCAAAGCATGTCGTCGAAATCTGTTCACATGCTGTAGTCGAAATATGCTAGGATTGTTAGCATGTCGAATTGGGTCTTGGTTGTAAGCCTAATTGTTTAAGTTAGCTTGTTTCCTAAGTTAGCTTGTGTAATGAGTATGTCTGTAAAATCCCATTAGGTTAGTATGTTAGTTTTCTTATAAATAACATGCTAGTCTATCATCTTTAGTGAGTGGTACAAATCCTAATTAGGGTGAGAGAGGTTATTTGCTATGCTGTAACACTTGTAATCTTGTTTTAGAGAGAAAGTAAATAATAGTAGTTTATAACTAATTTCATTGTGTTTTTCTTGTTTCCCTATTTTTCTTACCCTTGTGCATTTCTTGCTAATCAAGAGTTCGATTATACTTTGTTATTCCGGTATCGTTTTCCAAAACATACCTTTTCATGCAAGCAAGCAAATTTTCACATAGTACGAGATTTAGAAATTCATCAGTATGAATGATTTTAGTTTGTGACGTTTGAAGATGCATGCCCTTCTTACTCAACAGGGTTTGTTAAAAGCGTTGGAAGGATCAGAGAAGATAGATGCTGCCGTATCGGAGAAGGAGAAGACAAAGATGGTAAAAAAAACCACAGTGCCATTGTGTTGA